CTGCTTACAAGGTCAAAAAAATCCCAACAGGATTTAATATATGTACACAAGCCTGATGTATCGGAGGGCTGTGTTTCTTTACAATGCCAACAATTTGATGAGAATATCAATTAAACATGACTGTATAGTTAAAATTTCCATCTCTAAATGCAGCTGCAGCAAGTAACAGGACTGCTAATCAAAGCAGTGTTATAATTTAGCAGTGATGAGGAAAGCAGTAGCCGTCAGAAGGGAATAACAGAAAGGAGGCAGCTGCTTTCGTATCATTTTAGTGTCCATTTCTTTAATGAGCCCAAAGAGACAATTCCCTGCTGACTATTCATTAATTAATGGAATTTATGAGAGGAGAAGAGCTATCAGCCTGCAAACAAGTGGAGAACAGGTGATGACGGTCTGTTTGCAGGGAATGAGCATATTGAGGGAAGGAAGGTTTTGAATAAAGCAAATGATCTGGAAGAGATGTTTAAAAAGCTAAGTTACAAATTCCTCCTCTGGGCAGCAATGATGTGTGGCTTACAGGTTAACAGAGACATATTATTAAACTCAGGTTATGAAAAATCCATGGCAACATCTGAGAAAAAAAGGGACTCAGCCCAGAGGACTCAGCACCTGTCTCTTTCCTGTTCTGAGGGACTTCCACCATTTCACAATTACTTGATTGCATTAATAAACAGTTGGATAAATCCCATTAGAAAACTCTGTCTCCTTCCCTCTTGGTCTTTCAATGTCATACTAGTGTCTTGACCTTTGGCTGGGACCTCTGTGATGCCTCTCAAAGCAAACCAGAGTCTTTCCCAGTGTGGTGGTTTGACCAGGAAGAAGTGGGAATTCTGGGATGCTGTGGTCAAACCAATGAATGTTCTGAGTTTGAGACTGGCACCTGGTGTAGCCAGTGGGGTTTGGACACACCTTCGAGAATACACAGGGGTTAAAAAGCAGGGCTCTGGCCCTGGGAGGCTCTCTTGGGACGTCGAGGAGAAGAAGTCGGATCTCCCTCCCCTGTCCAGCCGCTGCTGCTGGGCGGGGGAGGGGCAGCCATGTGGTAGGCCCAGGGCCTGGACAGAGATGGGGGTGAGAAGGCCCTCGAGGATGGAAGGGTGGAGGAGCCCCAAGAGACATCGGGCAGACATTCCCCCCCCACTCCCCAGGAGGGAGAGAGGAGAGCCGGCGACACCGAATGTGATAGCAGCCGGCCCAGGAGGAGAAGGGGGGGGAAGAGTGCCTGGCCGGAGCGGCAGCGTGTGTGGGAGTGCCGCAGCTCCGGGACAGACAGAGACTGAAAGTTTTAACCCCTTTCTTTCATGATTGGGGCCTTGCAAAAATGCTAATCCTCCTCGAAGCTGAATAAGAAGGGAGATAGGAGATGAGATGAGACAAGGACCTGGCCCGAAGAACGTGGAGATGATTGAATGGGGAGAGATGATTTGGAGTGGCCTTTTGGCTGGACTTTTCTTGTGGCCATGGACTCAGTTTGTTCCTGTGACACAGAGACTGCACTTAGGGGGAAGCATGGCTCAGAACCAGGAGGGTTCATCGTGAGGACCCCCCGGCCCCAGGGGGTTGGAAAAATATGGGGGGGACAGATGTCCCAAAGCAGAGACTGTGCCTTTTTGGAGTGAGACAAGGCATCCTTGAAAGACAACCCTAAAAGCAGCTCTGGTCCATGCGCGGTGGTGAGAGCACTGGGCATGGAAGGAAGATGTCACAAGCGGCAAAAGGACTTTTTTCCGGGCGGTGCCGAAGTGACAGGGAAGCACACGAGGTTTCAGTGTGTTTCCAGGGGAAGCCTATGGAACAAGAAGGACTCCTCTCCTCTTCATGAACTGAAGTTTGAGTATACTAAAGTGTGGTGCCAGGCTGGGCAGTTGGTGATTTGGGAGAATGTATCGGATTGGGAAATTCAGGTAGTGGGGAGGAGGAAAGTGGTTTCTTTTGTAAGGTTTTCAATTTTTTTTTCTTTTCCTTATAGTTTTTCCCTATTTTCCTGTAGTTTAGGTAATAAAGTGTTCTTTATGTTTAAGCTGGAGCCTGTTTTGCTTATTCCTGGTCACATCTCACAGCAGACACCAGGGTGAGGGCATTTTCATGGGGGCACTGGCTCTGTGCCGGGCTCAAACCATGACACCCAGACATGAAGATCTCAGGGCTCAGAGAAGATTTTGCCAAAATCAACCTGCAGAGATTAATAAAGAGAAGATAATATTGCAGTTCTGGGCATAGCCACCTCTCTTTCTGGCAGGAGACCCTTTGCATATGAATGGCATCAAAGGGTAGCTGAGATTGCAGATTTGATCGTAGCCTCATGGTATCAGTTCACACAGGAATTCTTTGAGCCTCTTTGCACAACTTGAATTTTTGTAATATTAAACACCCTCAATCCTGGTTCCAATTAATTCTCTTTGATCAGAAAGTTTAAAGTGCTTGCATTTAGATATATTTGTACTAAACAAAACTGGTAATGCTGTTTCTATCCATTTTCTACTACGGGGATTTTGTGTAGGATGTGAGAGGAACCTGGTGGAGCTCAGCTCTACAAGTGCAAACCCCTTAAAGATTTGATATTAGCAACATAGGTAAGAGTAGCCACAAGCCTCTTGTAAACAGGACAGGCTGAGGCAGTAGATACTGGATATGTGGGATAGAGGATAGACTGTGACTGCAAAAGTTCCAAACATGATCCCACCAGGTTTTGGGCATTAACATTATAAAGGTCATAGTGACAATCGCACTCACAAAGTACAACATTCTTAGAAGTCTGTTCCACGCTTTCTTGACTCTTCTGCATATGCAGTAGCCAAAAACAAGGATTTCATTTTTGACACTATATTCTACATACAAACTGTTCCACATATGTTCATGGAGTGGGTAGATATAGCACATGCTTTTTCTACAGAGATTTTTAAATGTCAGGGATGTTACACATTTTTCTCAATGGCTCTTCTGTCGGGTGGATGATGAAGTAAACAAACAAAAAAAAGAGTTGAGCAATTTTGTCCAAGGTCATTAGTTATGACTTACTGCAAAACAAATCTGGAATGCATCATTAAAAATAAACAAAACAAAACATAGCAGTGTGTATGAGAAAATATGGAGTACAGGAAGACCCCTTCCTTTTATACAATATTGTTTTATCAAATTTGACTGATATTAGGGCTGAGGGGAGGAAGAGGGATTCTGTTAGCATTAGGGAGACTTGGGCAAATAGGGGTAAGGCTTAGGTAATAAATAACGTCCTTGATTCCACAAGTATATTTATAGTTAGTTTTAAGAATTGTCCATTAAATATTCTTAGATTTATTTAATTTCTCACATATCTTTGAATTTTTTTCTAAAATCTGAAGCTCCAGGAGTCCTATGAAAACTTAAATTTTTGTTATAACATAGGTTAAATTATGCAAAAACAAAACAAACAACAATCCTACAAAAAACCCACAAAATCCACGACCACCAAACCAAACTGTAACAAATCGAACCAAACCAAACCAGAAAGCTGGAAGTTAAAATATGTATTTTAAAGAATTCCCTCAATTTTTAAACCAGAATACAGTTTCTGTTTGATTTCTTTTAAATTTCAAGGGGATGCTCAATCCATCCTCCTGACTTCTTGGGGTGACTCCTTTCGCAGGAAAAGTGACTCCTTTCTACAGATCATCTTTCTATCTATATGAAATTTGTTCTTTTGCTCCAATCTAGTTCATGAGTTCAAAACAGTTTTAGTAAAACATGAAATAACAAAAATTAGTACAAATAATTGGTGAGTAAGGAAATTACAGTTGTCACTTTCTTAGTATATTCATTCAAGACTGCATGATAGAGAATGGAAGCCTGTCTTGTTCCACTGTAAAATATTTAATTGACTTCTAATAAATAATATGCAGCTTTCTTGGCCCAGCTATTTCATTCATAGGAATGACCTATAAAACCCCTTGAGCATAAACCACATACTGCTAATTACAAACAGAATATTCTGATTATTTCTTGGACTTTTAGCACTTTGATGAGAAATGTTGAAAATATTGGCCATTTATCTCCTTTCCTGGCTGGAAATATGTGTCTAATGCCATCTTGGTCCAGGCAAAATCTAGCTAGTGAAAATATCATGCATGAGAACACACATATCTTTTAAGTTTGCTGATGTATTATAGAAATTACATCTATCAGAAAAGACAGGCGGATTGTTCAAAGCATTATAGGCCAGGCTGCATAAACTTTACAAAAATGCCCAAACTTTACAAAAATTTCCACATACCTGAGGGGAAAAACTAGCAGAATTTTAAAGTGATTATTTCCAAAAGAACCTGTGACAAATCCACACACAAGCCAAACAGATTCTGAAATTATAACCTGAGTCATATCACATCTAATATGTAAGAAGAGAGAGGAGTTGTTTTCAAGGAGATAAAGAAAAAGAAAATAAATTATTGTTTTCCACTTCATCTTTTTTTCTTATCTTTTTTTTTTTTTTTATTGAAGCAGCTCTTCCACACATACATGGCCTGACTGTGATGAGCACCAACAAATTAACCCTGAGATTATCTCTGTTGGTTAGAGCATAATACTTAAACCACTAAGTTTAGAGCATAATACTAGAACCACTAAGTTTGCATGTTTGAATCCCAGAAGGGCCATTCACATAAGCGCTGGATTTGCTAATGCTTGTGGGTCCCTTCCAGCTCAGAATATTCTATGATAAGAATAGCTATGAAAATACAAGTGAGTGGTGGAATTAGGAACTTCCTTATCTCATATTCAGTGGATATACAAACACCCCAAATCTGGTGCAGGTAATGGTAACATAAACCTCCAAAACCAGTTCACATGGTTGTACCATATTTAGGCATAAAATTAATAACTTTATCCATTCTTTTCATTTGATAAAATTTTTTTTCCTTTGACACAACTTCCCTTTCATGAATGCTTAATTTATCTTATACTTAGTTGTGCATCAAAGTTGATGACAGAGAGTTTTAAAATACATAGTCCACATGTTGTACTCCTACCTTAATAAAGGCAGAAGGATGTCCAAAAACTTCTCTGAAAATGCAGCCAACTTCCTAAGGGGAAAAAAGGTATATGTGTATATATATATATATATATATATACATATATATATATATATATATATATATATATATATAAACACTGTGATCAAAACTATGACTGTGGAACACATGAAGATAACCAGTCTGATGAGAACTCCAGGTACCAGCAACAAACAAAGATACCCATCCTTTTCCCCAGCATTTGGTCAACCCCATCTGTAGATTAACATTTAATTTTTTTATTGAATATATAAATATTTATTTTATTAATTGCTGCTATTATTATTTTCTTTTCCCAAGTCTGCTCAGCATATGAAACTTGCCTATATATTACATCAGAAATTATAGAAGAAATTAATACTGATTGAAATGCATTCTTATCTTATCTTTAATGAGTAATAAAGCAACTAATTTCTAAACAATAGCTGAGCCTTCCCTCCAGATTGCTAGAAAGAAGATATATTTTTAAGATGTTCCACATCTTTTTTCATCATTCCTGAAGGTTATCATTATTTGTTTTTCATATTTAACTGAGACCTGAGATTAACAAAAATAAAAATTACAGATTTTAATATAAGTTAAAAGTATTAAAAAAATATATCATTTTACTGTTCTTCATGCAATTTTAGAACAATCAGTATAAAACAAAGGGATATAATTCCAAGACAGATGAAAAGATTGAATTGTAGGCATTATTACTCAAGTTTTAGTTATAGTATAAGAGTAAGGCAAAATTGAATAGATTTCAAGGAAAGAAAATAGAAAACTTGTTAAGAAAAACTTACTTCTTTATAAGTTTCTTATTGAGCTTCTAAAACTCATTGCTTCAAGATACCTGTGAAGTGGCCTATGAAATCACTTAGCCTGATTTCTGAACTTGCAGACAAATGAAAATTACTGGGCTTTAGGATTTACGTCCTGAAAAATTTATCTCAGTTCTACTTAGAGAACTCAAATACTTTGGCCTTTGTGTTTCTATGATGAAATGACCAAATGAAGTAGTATAAGGATAGCCTTGGACATTTGTTTTCAACAGCTCAGGTATGCATCACTAATTGTTCTGGGAGGATTGAACAACCTCAAAGAAAGAAGCTGAATTATCCCTGATAATTCAAACACTTCTTGAATTCTGTCAGACTGAGGCCAGCCACCCTCTGGGGGAAAAATACTTTTTCCTGATATCCAGCCTAAGCCTCCCCTGACTCAGATTCATGCCATTCCCTCAAGCCCTGACACTGATCACAAACTAAAAGATTGGTACCAGCCTCTCTGCTTCTCCTCGTGAGGATGTTGAAGACCCCAATGAGGTCTCCCTCAGTCGTGTCCTCTCTCTGGGGACATCCTGTACCTGCCTACACAATTCTGTAATGCCTTCTGCTCCCTTAAGGTTGTTTCCAAGTGTGTTAAGGCATTAACATCTGCCAGTTACACCATGGAGAAACAGCACTTACAGGGAGCATGAGTAAAGAGGATGTTAGAGCTACAGCTGGAATACATAAAATATCTTGAGGAAGGAAGTTGTGGGGAATTAGTTTTCTGAAAACTGCAAAGTGATGTGACAGTCACCAGGAAAGTTTCACCAGTATTACTAAATGCGGGAGGGGGCAAGACCAGCACTGAGGTATTTGAAAAGAAAGTGGATAGGAAAGGAGGTCTAAATTAATTTCTCTAGGGAGTAAAGACAAGATTGACCAAGTTTTCTCTATTTTATCTAAACTGGTGGCAATTTTGTTTTCAAGTTTCTGTACTTTTTTCCCATTTGCCAATTGTAAGAAAAGATAGGCTGTCAAATAAGCAAGGAAAAAATACACTTTTTCTATCATTCATTTTTCAAATTCCTGTTATTAGAATTATAAATCCTGGAGGTCCTTTTACTCAGAAGGAGGGACTGGCAGGTGGTTTATGTTTCAAAACTGCAAAGCTTTTGTTTGATTTGCAACAGAAAAAAAAAAAGTAATTTTGTGTGGATCACAAAGTTAACCAGTAAGAGATGAAAAATAGTCCAATCAATCCTCGAACACTGCAATTCTGTATTCTGTGGCTGAATAATCAGATCCTTCAAACTCTAGACTAGAATTTGCTCTGCAATTTACACTAGATTGTAAGCTCTGGGTGACTGTTTTGCCCCATTTCCTTAAGTTTATGTTAACATGGCTATAATGTCATGACTATTTCCAAATAAAATCATAAGTCACATGGATCATGTAAATACAACTTAGGAACCGTATTTTAGCCTGGTCTTCTTCTTCATTGCATGAAACAGGCCAGTCTCATCCAGAAAACGTAATATCTATTATTTCTAATTCCTCACATATGTTATACATGTCTCTGTGTTTTAGCCAATTTATATTCATGTCCAGTATTCTCAATGTTCCCATTTACTGTAGCTTATGATGATTTGGTATCTTTTCAAATAGATGTGAAATCAAACCCTTGTGTGATCACTTTGAGATAAATTTTGTCAGTATTATATATATATTTTTTTATTTTTCATCTATTGCAAGTGTGCATGAGTTATTTGAGATGTTGATTCATATAAAGAAAAAAAACCCCTCATAAATTCCATTGAGTAACAAACTATTTTGAATGACTGTATATTTTAGTAGCTCATAAATATGCCTGATTTCAGCCCTAGATTTACTATATTTTTAATTTCCAACAGATTGGCCATAGTTTTAAGGCTTTCATCTGAAGTCTGGTCTACTTAAAGGGCACAATGTACTTAACTATTCAAAAAGCCTCTTGATCCTATGAATGCACTTTGCTAGCAACGGGATAGTCATTTTCCAGGCCAGTAAAAAGCTATTACTCACTGGAACACAAACAGATTGCAGGAGGGAAAGCTCATACTGATGGCTGGCAGTCTGACAAAGGGAAGTGGGAAATATGGCCCTTTCCTGAATTAAGTTGCATTGACTCTATCTGTTCCAAACATTTGACTCCTTTCTTCTTGTGATACTTATGACAATAATAGGATAACAGATTTATGTCATGAAGGCACTGACCTTTGTCAGAAGGAACATTTTGACAGGAAAAGATGAGATATGCTGCTCCGCTCTGTAGTTTTGACAATGACTGACAGCATGGCTGTATACCGACATGGCAAAGCTTATGCTTATGTTTTTACATTGTCACCCTTGGATTAACTCCTGGGTTTTTACCATATTTGATGACATATCTTTCCTAATGAAATGCCTAGATAGAGACAATTTACCCTGCTGAGAAGCCTTGATTCACCTTACACCCAAAGAGGTGACTTGTGTTCTAAGATGAATTTTGGGTGAAGGGACAGCTAAACCTAGTGAACACTGATGCTTCTGTTCCTTTACTCCATGGTAAGGATGCTCTTACCTTAAGAAAGCCTAGTTCATACTGCCTGTTTTGTGGAAAGTTTTGTGTTAATAATGAAATTTAATTCTAATTCTTCTGTGAAAGGGTTGGATTTGATGGAATGTGTCTAAACTTTAACTTTGAGAAGAGATGTGTTACTGCAGGGAATTCAAATATTTTGGATATGATCAATACATGGGTGAAATTTTTTTCTTTGTCTTTAGGATTGGTGGGCACAGGCATTACATCATCATAGCAGCAAAGAAAAAAGCCATATATCCAGGTAATTAGAAAAGGCAAAATGGAAAGAGGCACAGGAAAACCATTTGTCCAAAGAGAGGGTTTGGACAAATATTCAGTTTGGACATTTTTTTAATTAGAAGTTATCACTTCCCATGTACACTTCAGTAGCCAAACTGAACTGTTCATATTGCCTGTTTTTCCTGTGTGTGCACTGGCCTCTTATTTGGTGGGGATTGCAGCACAGCAATGTTGTGTAGCACGCAGCATTCAACTCTTATGTATTTTTTATTGTAGCATGAAGATTATCTTCCATACTGTGCAATGCAAACAAAATTGACAGTCTCTGCCCTTGATGATCTTATCTTGTAAACTCTTACACATGAGCAATTTTTATTCACTTGCAGTTTATTTCTGTTCACAGTGAAATTACTGGTGAAATTCCACCAGTGAACACCTCCAGCAGAGCAGGATCAAAACTAGGAATATTAACATTGACTTTTGTGGGAGCTCTCAGAGAACAAAAATCAAACTGGAAGACAATCAAACCAACAAAAAACTTGTTTTCTGTCTTTCACCTTCCAAGATTTGGATATATAAAATTACATACTTTTCATCCAGCTCTTTGAGTGACATATAATGAGGTTTCATTGTTCACTATGACACTTTGACAAATGTTGTGTTACTATTGCTCCTAAGAGTGACTATACAAAACATCTCCACTCCAGAAGCATAGCGCAAGTATGGTGTGAATCCAAATGAATTATGCATGAAACATGAGAAAGGAAGCAAATGTTAACTAATCTCAAAATGGGTCAAACTCATGACAATTTAGTTAGTGACAAATTAAGTCATTTTTCTACAATATTAACCAACTGTGCCGCTTTTGATTTGTGTCCCTACTGATTTGCAGAGCACAAAAGGTCATTTTCCAGGCAGATGGGCAATTTCCCTTGCAGAGGGGAATTTAGCTTCTACATGCCAGACATAATGAGAACCAATAAATTAGGCAAAACTGCTGTTTACCTAAGATGAAATATTGATGGCCAGGCCCACGAGAATGCTAATGTCTACATTCATCATTTTTTTAAAGTCTTGAAATTTAGAGCACAGTAACAGAAGTTGTGATAGATCTATATATCACAGATACAGTAACATTAGAAAAAGTACCAGCTACAGAATGCAAATATAATGCAACTGAAAAATTTCAGTTGCTTCTACATTAATTTTAGTTTTACCAGGTAAAATGAAATGGGATGTAAACAGCACCAAGTACAAATGGCATGGCTTGAAGTACTGAGAGCAGATTAGAAGGTCTTTTCACTTTTATATTACCAGTGACTAGAAGCTGGTATGCAAGATATGTGACATGATCTGGTGATCTTTATCCCATTCCCACATTGTGATGCCATATGTCTCCTTCATATGGCAGTGTAATCTAG